GGCTTTGTTTTCAGCCCTTTTCCCAGGTCACTCAGGCATACGTTGAACAGCAGAAGTGCACCAGAGACCCTGCTGAAACTCCACGGGTGACCATGCAAGACTGATCATTTACTCCTCCCTCCTTGCTCACTGATTATTTATCTATCCTTGGGTTTTTCCTATTATCCATGGATTCCTAAAGGCTTTTTATAAAAGCATTCTGGAAATCCAGGGAGACTGTACCTACCAGATCTCCCGTATCCATGGACTTGTCCATCCCTGCAGAGAACTTGTTCATCCCTGCAGCAGCTTGGTGACACTGGACTTCCCTTTACAAAAGCCCTATTGGCTGCACCTGAGCTCTTCACCAGCCCAGATCATAATGCAGCTCCAGAAAGCTGGAGATTATGGAATTAGGCTGAGGTAGGGATGCTAGCTAAGGGAACCAGTCTATCATTTATCTAGATCTGGTCTAAAAACTAGGCTGCCAAATCTGCTGATCTAGAACTACAACCAGGAGGGGAAAGTTATGTGATCCTTGGCAGAGGGAGGAGTGTTGCAGGAGCCTGTTGTGTATAAACAAGGTTGTAACACGAAGCTGCACTTCTCTTCTGGCACCTCTCTGTCCAGGGGTAGCTTTCCTGCATGAGGAGCTCAGAGAGGCCAGATCTCCATCTGATGCAGATCAGAAAAACCTTGCTGAAGAGAGGTACCCTTGGTACCTGACAAGGGGCTACACCACTATCAGCTGGGGTGTTTTCGTTCCCTTGAGAATCATGTACTGTGTCTCATTCCTATGCAGAGCCTGTTTCTTTGGCCACAGGGGTGTGGAGAGCTTCCAGCACCCATAACTGCAATTAGGACATTCCTCAATCTTGCACAAGGCCCCAGGGGTGAAGCCTGCACTGCCACCCTCTTTGCCCTTGCTCTCCCAGGGCACTGGGACCCAGCTCTGCTCCTCCTCTAGCTCCACAGGTCATCCCTGCGTTGCTGCCCATGATGGACTGGGGAGTCAGCACTGCTTGTACTTCCCCAGGAGGCAAGGACATCAAGCTAAAGGAGCTTTTCGCCCTTGCTCAACTGTAGTCCTTGCAGCTCATGTGGGTCCAGGAGTGCAATAAAGCATCCCTCTGCCATGCAGTGATGCCCTATGGATGCCAATGTCCTTCAGATTCCCATTTTCCTCTGCAGGCTGGATGAGATGCCACCCCCTCTGATGCCCCAAGGTCTTGTCTTCTGATGGAGTAGCATGTTTCACCTCGCTTTATACAGCCAGGGAAGGAAGGGGCGGCAGAGCTGCTGTGCCTCCAGGATGACCAGGTTCCTGTGACAGCGGGTAGACCCGGCTCAGCCGAGCCAAGAGTCCACCAGGTTTCTTCTAATGAAGCTGCATGTGTTGTGCTGCTCAACAGCTCGTTGCAAGGTGTAACCACCTCCCAGCTCTGTGCAGACACCGTGGAGGCCGCAGGGGGCCATGCAGAGGTAATGTTTAACTTCCCTGGCATTAACCCCTGCAAAGAGCAGGGCACTGCAGGCAGCCCAAGTGCGGAATTCAGAGGCCATGGGCTAAGTTTACCCCTTCCTTCCCTGGCACGGGTGCTAACCCTTCTCCAGCTGCAGTGCTCCGGCCGTCAGCTGAGCTGCAGACACGCTCAGACAAATACTTGGGCCCAGTGCAAATGTCTCTAGGCACTGGCTGGCTAGCAAGGAGGTCACGGAGCATCCTCGGAAAGGAACAGACCATTGTACAAATAACTAGGAGTGATATATTGGAAAGGCCAGGTCAGACCAAGCCCTTGCCTATCTGCCTCCTTGCTAACACACAGCTGCAGTTTTCACAGTGAGACCTTCTCGGTGGAAATACTGAAATCAGAGAGAGCTTTCAGCATCATATTGTCTTTCTAGGGAGAGGACCTTGTAAGTCACTGAATTTTGATTGAATTTAAGCAAAAAGGAGTCACAAAATGTTCCCTTCTCTTTCAGAGGAAAGGAATGGACAGCTGGCAGTGCCATGGGATTCCCTGCAGAAATCAAAGCTATGGTCAATCAAGGCCATGGTGCAATTAAAGCAAAGTACATCCTGGTATGAAAGGTATGACAGCTCACCTTGCTTCCCCTTGCCAATAGGGAAAGCTGGGTCCCCATCTGGCCCAGAGCAGAGAAGGAAGAGAAGTCTTGGCTACAAGGTCATGCTCCGAACAGAAGCATGAGGCATTTGGACTGATGCACGCTCCCTTGGAGACTTCATCCCTGTAAAGAATTGGGGTTTTTCTGTGTTTCTAACAAAACTGAAATCCCTTGGCCTGGGTGTTGCCATGTCTGCTTAGTGACAAGTCAACAGTAAGAGCAGGACATGGCAAGTGGGGGACATTGTATGCCATCGGTCATAGTTGAGAACATAGATGAATTTAGAGAGCAAAGAGTATTTCTTTTGGTTTAGTTTTGTTTGTTTGTTTCCCTCCCCTTAACCCAAAACACAAGCTGTGCTCTCAGATAGGAGCGTGGGGGCTCCAAGGATCTTGCTGAGTGTGTCCTTGCTGCAGAGCCAGGCTCCTGAGGCTTCTGGGTTTTGCTCTGTGGCAGGTTGGGGTGTTTTGGTGCAGATCCAGAAACCAACCATGAGCTGAGCACAGGCTGGGTGAGGGAGGGACCTGGGACCACATCCCATAGCAGCCCTATTGCCTTTTATCTCCCTGCCACCCCTCCCCGCTCTGCAAAGCCAACCACCTCTTTCTTTCAAACTGCCCAATTAACATAATTAAACAAAGCTCAAGAGCAATTGTTCTCCACCAGGACTTGGCTTGCTGCTTTCTGCTTGTTTCTGGTCTGAAGAACGCTTTGTTTCCATGAAATCACTCTGCATTTTCCAGCTATACCAGTTGGTCAAGTGAAAGATATTACCTCTCCCTCCACCCCTTTCTTGCTGTGCCAGGATCACTGCGGAGTGTGTGAGTTCCCCTCGGGGATAGTGTGCACAGTGAGATCTCAGGACACTGCTTTGACGTGGATCCCTTGGAATAACAAGCTCGGAGTGGTGAAATTGCAGCCAAAACCCTTTGCCGTGGGGCTGGTCAGGCCATGGAGGCAGCTCTCGCACCCTGTCCCCCCGCTGCAGCTCTCAGGGTCCCACCTGCAGCTGTTTGCCCCATGGAGCACGCTGCAGCCCGCGCATTTCCAAAGGGCATTTCTTTGGTGCGGGGCGATAATCCCCGAATCGCTTGGCGGGTCAGGCTCATGCTTGCCAACTATGTGTGTTGAGATGCCTAGGGTGAGGACGGGCGGCTGCACGCTGCCTTCTGCAAGGGCAGCATGTCCTGACACTGTGTGAGGCTGCAGATGCTCTGCAGAATTAAGCTTGGGAAAGTAAAAAACGTAATAAAAAGCCCTTGTGGCCCATGCGATCACTCCAGCCATGCAGAGGGTGGTCCTGCTCCCAAACTAGCAGGATGCTGATGGGGATGGGGGGAGAGGAGTTTGTTTCAGGTGGAAATAGGGAGGCTGAGCCTCTGCATTTAATAGGGGAGGAGAGTTAATGTGGATTTTCCAGATAACAAGCACCTCCTATTTAATCCCATAGGTAGATTTGGGCATGGTTCTCATATCAGGTCTCAAAATCATTGTCCCTCCTGTTTAGAGACCTGTACTTTGCTCTGAGTTCACAGTGCCCCATATACTTTACAAGCTGAACAGGGATGGGGTTGTGCTGCAGAACACCTGAGGTGTGGCCCAGGTTTGAGGTTGTGCACACTGCTATTGCTCCGAAGACCGTGGGGACAAGGCACTGCTACAGCATACTAAGAACTTAGGACCTGGTTAGGTCTCAACCTCTTCCCACTTGGCGTCTCTCACAGTGCAGCCAGGAAGAAGCCCCTTTTTGGTCCAAATTCACACCAATTCTCACCTCTCCTCCTTCCATCCCTGCTGCTGGGATGGGACAGTGCATTCCTGGCCTGGTTGCACACTGGCTATAGGCTTGTGATTAGGAAATCATAGGCCTAGTGAGGCATCCTGAGCTGTTTGGTCTCAAGGTGGATTCAGCTCGTGCTCTCCTGAAACTGCTTGGACTCATTGAGAGCAAATTGCAGCTCTTCCCGCAGCGCCAGTGCTCGAGACAGGAGCTGGCAGGAGCAGTGCAGCAGTGCACGGGGAGGGTCAAGCTCTCGAGGCATTTCCAAAAACAGAGAAGAAAGCAGGGTGAGGGAAGCCTGCAGACAGCCGACTCCACACTGAGGATGCCCAAGATGTATTGACTTTGCCTGGGAGATTGGTGCATTTTTAGAGCCCAGCAAGTGCTGCAGTGCACGGGGAGAGAGTGGCCCTGCATTGGGCCAGGGGTTCCCAAAGGGACTAGGAGGGACACCAGGAAAAGGGGGGCTGCAGCCTTGCTGGGAGACAGGGGCAAGAGAAAAAGGACGCAATGAGAGTCGATAGCCTGGGAGCACGGTCAGTGCGAGCAGCAGCATGGGGATGTCACGGGGTGAAGGAAAGGACGGGTGTACCTTCCTCAGCAGGAGCTGCAGCCCTGACCGTTGCTCCCGTGTTGCTTCACAGAAGAGCACACACCACGCTCTGCCCGGGACACTGTCCTTTAATGCATGTACAATTGCACAGGAGCATCTCAGGCTGCACGAGTCAGAGGATGGGGGAATGGGAGACCAGCAGCCGTCTCCTGGGCCTCTCTGCAGCTGAGGGAGGAGAAGGAGAGTCCCTCAGAGCTGCATGCCCGGCACAGACATGCACAAGCTGCCCATGAGAAGACGTGACTTGCGTTGTGCCCGCTGGCAGAGGAGCACCAGCAGCCCCGTGGCCGTGTTGGTGACGCCTGTGGCACCTGAGAGCCCTTGTGCTGGGGCCATCCCGGAGCAGGGCTGGTTGCACAAGTAAGGTAAGACCTGCACGCAACTGCAAGCCAGGGTGGGTGGGAAGGAAGAGGGTCGAATCTCCTTCCCAAGCAGATGTCCACACAACTGAGCTCAGTGGTGAATTCAGGGTAGGGGCATAAGGAACAAGGAGGAGCAGTGAGGAAAGGGAGGCAGACAGCAGGATCGGGGAGGCTCTTCTTCCTGGCCTGATGCTCCTGCAGAGAGAAACAAAGCAGGGCAATGGGGCAAAAGAGGAGTTTGGCTCGAAGGTGCCAAAGCTGATGCCAGAAGTGTCAGTGGGGCCATAGCTGCCTGCCCATGTTGGGGACATGTGCTGGAGACCCATCCCCTGTGCTGGGATAGCCAGGATATGAAAACCCAGGAGAGGAGTGGGTGCCTTCTCTGCATTCACCCAGCCACAAGCACCCACTGGGGCCATTAAAGCAGTCCGGAGCACGGGGGAAGGTGGGCTAGTTGCAATACCTCTCACTGGCCTGTGGGGGACTTGGCAGCGTCGAACATCTTCTTTCGGCCCTCCATCCCCGACATGGCCTCCACGTTCTTGCGCCAGTCGCCCACTTCCACGGGGCGCTCCTGCAGAACGAGACGGGGTCGGCGATGGGACGGACTCTCTGTCGGCCTCGTGCTTTTCTCACCCAGCACAAAGGCCGCGCAAGGAAGACATTTTTCTGGGAATTATTCCAGATTTATACCAGCCTACTGGGGCAAATGCAGGTAAACACACCTTCTGCAGAGAGGTCCCATCCCACATAAAACCCAACTCCACCTTCTTGCAGCTTTTGGAGAGGAATGGGGTTGCAATGAGAGCTGGGAGGCCATGGCTGCTCTGGGAGCATGCCCAGGTGTCTGCTTTGCCAACACGCAGGTGCTCATAGATTACAAGCCATGCCCCCAAATCAGCTCATGAGATCTAAAATAAACCCAGATCTGTTCACAACCTGGCACTGAGGCCTATAAACACAAACATTTTCAATCCAAAGGACTAAAAATGTGCTCTACTATCAACACAGGGGAAAAAAATGGAAAAAAAAAAGATAAAAAGAGTTCTCTTCAATCATCTGAGCTGGAACCTGGGGTTAAAACATGGGGCCCAGTGAGGAGAGGCTCTAGGAAAAGCAGCAGAACTCTTCTGGGGGAAATCTCAGCATCTCATACCCTGCTGCTGTCCAAAACAGAACAAAAATAAATGCAATTCCTGAATGCAGCACAGAGCAAGATCTCCTTGGGAATGTCAAAGCAGTCTACTCTGAGGGATTAGGATGGCCCAATATGAAAAGGAACATCACAGACTGCGTGTCAAAGTCCAGTATTGGGACCTCTTTCTCTTGAGAGTGCTCTTGCAGTTGGACTATTCCTGCCTGGGCTTTTCCAGAGGGGAAAATCCTTGTGGGCAGTGGTCGACATTGTCCATGTCCTTATGGTGGGGCACCTGCCTCTATGCCTGCCCACACACCGGGGCCAGGCTTGGACATTGCGCTACCTCTCTGGCATTTATTGAGAGTTTTCCCCCTTCCATCTCTGCAAAGTCAGTGTGAACTGTGTCATTTATTTCAGACTCGATATGGTCACTGCACTGTTTTATCTAATCTGCACTTGGGAGGTTCCTGGGTGTTTTCCGAGTGTAAACAGGAGCTCTCCTTATTCCCAGGAAGGTTGAAGACCAAGCTTGGAAAGTGCAGCCTGATAAACATGTGAAGGGGTCTGTGCTGCTTTACTCCACCTGAAAGTACTGCCAGGCTCTGGGAGAGAAGATGGTTCTGGACACAGCTCTGAATGTCACCTGTCATCTTCCACCAGTTATCTGGCCTAGCCAAACAGCTCCTTCGTGATCCTACAACGTCTTGGCATTGTCCTTACAAGGACAATATCCCTTGCTATCCTGGAGGCACAGGACTTACAAGAGTTGAGCATAACCCATGAATGCTTCAAATGAATGTAGGAGAAGAGTAGGTGCAGCCCTAGGAGGTCTCTCTACCAGCAAGCTCTGGAAGAAACACCCACCTTCTCTGTGTCCTCCTTCTTGACAGACTTCAGGTTGGCTCTCAGATCCATGGAAACCTTGTGCTTGGAGCCCAGCAGAGCCCTCAGCATGGCATCAGCAGAGACACGGACTCGCCGAAGAGGAGGTCGCTTGAACTTCCCCCGGAGGTCTAGCACTTTCAGTTTCAGGTCTTTAATCTGCAGGAAACAAGGGGAAGTGGGAGTCGTTGTATGGCAATATTACACAAAATGCTCCTGCATGATGCAGGAATCTTTGCGTGCTCCTAGGCCCAGAGGGGTCCCAAGTCCTCCTGCAGAAGGCAGGACACCTGCACTGAGGGGTTGTCCACCTGAGCCCAGACCTGCAGTGGTGACCTTGTCCCAGCCCACCTGGATGGTTGCCATGCCACATGACAGACCTCTCAGAGCCTCAGCGAGACAGGCCAACCAGGAGAGCAAGGAGGTTGCCTGTAGACCCAGGTGACACTGCGATAAGCCTGGTACATGTCCCACACACTCCTGTTCCTACCTCCCGGGTGTTATGGTTGCATTTTGCTTCGATGTCATATCTCTCTTCATCCACGATTTCAACTTTTGCATGCAGCTCCCTGCACAGGTCCTGGGGATCAGGCACCACAAAAGAGCAGTAAGTGGTGGGTCCTAGTGCTGCCAAGGACCTCACTTTGTCCTCAGACCCCTAGATTTACCTGGAGTTGGCTCAAGGAAAGCCCACTGGTGTGCAGTGGTGTGATCCGCTCAGCCAGATATCTTTCCTTCTCTGACTGTTTGTCAATGAGCTCCTGATCCCACTCCTCCTTCGCCTTTGCCAGCATCAAGCTCTAGGGAACAAGCAGAAAGCGCAGGACTGAACGGACAGGCTCCTCTGAGGGTTATCCCCTTAACACAAGGTCTGTAGGATGACAGAAAGTCCCAACCCTTTAGCAACACCCGCTTTGCTGTGGTTGTCCTCCAAAAATCACCGTGAAGCTGCAACACACATCAAAAAATCCCTACGCCCTTTGTGTGGTGACATTGGAGGCAGGGGAAAATGGGCCAGAGATACCTCTGTGGTGGTTGCATTCCTGATGGGTGCTGACATGGACACTTCCATTGCATCAGTTTGCTCTGTTGTTGTTTTAAGTGATTTCCCTAAGCCACAACAAATCCTAGGGAGTTTCCAGCCCTTAGGACTCACCTTTAGCAAGAGTTTGCGCGAGGCAGTGATCTTGGACTTTCTCTAGGGGAAAGGGAGACAAAAAGGATCTTTGAAAACACCTTACAGCAAAAGCAGAGTAACATCTAGATCAGTCAGGAAAGGAAAGGCACTTACCTCCCTGCAGGGAGGCATCCATTCAGGAGCGAGCAATAAGGAAGACAAAAACAGAATAGGGCATAAGTGAACAGGAATCAAGAAGAGAGTGAATGTCAAGAAAAGTATTTGGCATGATTACAGTTGGTTTCCCTACTTTCATATCCAGTAGTTGCAACCTGTAAGTGAGCCAGGCCTGCAGCCAGGCTGAGATAAAGGTAATCTCCTGAAATGCAGCACAAGTGGAGAGACACCTTTTAGAAAGCCAAAATGCCACTCAGGTCTGCACACAGGGTGTCATTATGCCCTCTTGCAAGCCCCAGCTGGCTCCCTACATTTTGGGTCACAACACTCTCATTCATGCATTCCCGTTCAGTTTGCAGACTGCATTGATTCTCTTCAGGTCTCCAGGACTGAGGCATCTCCATGACATTGCTCGATGGAATCACGTGCAGGGTGATATCACATTATACGACAGGCTGTAAGGAAGAGCCTCACAGTGGCTTTGCCCATCAAGAGATGACCTATATCAGGGTCTCTGACCTAGGAAAGCTCCAAGTTTTCCCTCAAGACATCCAAATGACTAACTGTTTTTGTTCAAAGAACATTTTTTACAAAGGGAATAGCTCAGGGGTCTTGAGCCTGGACCTTTTCTTCAAGCTGAACCCTCTAAGGATTGGGCAAATTCTGCCAGCACAAGCAACCCCATGGCCAGCCAAGAAATCCAGCAAAATCAAGGGGAGAAGGTGCTACTTACGGCTCTGGCATAGTGGTGTGACACTGTTCACCTGCAGAGAAGGAAAGAAGCTGAAATTATATTGCTTGGAACAGAAGGAAAAGAAGCGCCTGGGAAGGCAGGACCTGGAGAAAGGGTTTCTCCTTCCCTGTCTTCTTCTCCTGCCGCTTCCCTGCCCGCAGAGGACGGGCTGTAGGGTGTCCAGCCATGGCTTTGGGGCCCTTCTGAGGTCTGGTGCTGCCCCGTGCTGTTGGTGGAGGGAAGCGACTCTGCAACCAGTTTTGCCATCCGGGTGTGAAACACAAGGACAAGTTGCACCGCTCCCAGGAGCTCATATTCCCAGCAAGCTGCAGCCTGTCTGCAGCCCGCCCTGCGGCACTGCCGCGGGAGGAAACCGCTCTCCTGCTCCCCAGGGTTTTTCCCAAATGTCTGAATTGCTCTGCCCCTGCTGCTGGCTGTATCACCCACTCCAGCTCCTGGCAAACAGCTGGAGGGAAGAGAGGCTGGAAAGCCAACAAGAAATGCAGCATCTCCCGTGCAACATCAGGCTGGTTTAGTCTGTCCAAGAGGAGGCCAGAGGGGAGACAAGAGCATCCTGCAGCTCCCACCGTGCAATTGCAATAATGTTAGAGCCAAACACTTCTCAGGAGACAAAATAGGGGCAAAAGCCACAGATTGCAGCAAATTGGCTGAACATATTCCACAAGGTTCCTGGTGAAACACTCATGATTTCATATTTTACATTCACTTGGTAATCCTATTCCTTGGCAGCTGCTTAAAAATGTACTGCCTCTGCTCACTTCCTCCTGCGCTGCCTTTAATGCTTCCCATTCCTGCCAAGATGCTGGGGCACCACATAAATTTGAGCTGTAGAAAAATCTGTGGGAAAATGCCAATCTTTTTTCCTTCTTTCCAATCAGGAAAAAGGAATATTTCCAAACAAACAGCATTTTTTTTTTATCTAGTAGTGAGTCTAATCCTATTACTATGAATTCTATTACTCTGAAATAGCCAATTTGTGCTCGAACTGCACAAATCTCAGTGTGTCATAAGTTAATTTCCCAGTCCAGGTGGAAAAGCCACCACCTCCCTCTGCCCCTCTGTCATCTTGTCCCTGTGCCTTCCTCAGCTCCCCCACTATAATTGTGTCCTAAAGAACTGTAGGTAGTTGGGAAGAAAATGCCACTGGGATTCCATGAGGAATCATCTTTCCTAGAGCCTTTATCAAAAAACTTATCAGTCAGATGTAACCAGAGGCACCAATTCCACGCTTTTTTAGAAGTTCCTTGGTGACACAGCGAATCCCTCAGAAGACATGCAGGGAAGCCAAGACCTCTTGGCTGGCACCAGCATATTGAGGGCATTGGGTCTTATCCACCTTCTCCTGACCTCTTGCAGGCAAGGCAGAAAAGTGTTTGACTCTCCGCAGGAGGGCAAGGGTTGGGAAAAGCCACCACCTCCCTCCCCATGAGGGAAAAACCCAGGGTCCCTAAAGTGGGACCCATACCAGACCCTGAAGTGGCGCTCTGGGCCAGTGTCAATCAATTTTAGAGCTAGATTTTTCTAAACTGGTTTTCCAGAGGGCAGCCAGGGCTCAGCTTTGCTGGTCTGACACATCCTGCAATCCTGGATTCAGAGCTGCTGAGAGGGACTTGACCTCTCTGACAGGGACAGGAGGATTGGGACATATTAATTCCAAACTGTGCTTCTATTCTCCAGTCATGAAAAGCTTAAAAAGCATCAGAAACCATCAAATCATAGAAATCTCAAGAAGAATTAATCCTTAGTGCAGTCAGCTGGGACAACATCTCCCGTCCTAGGTGGCTGGGGACACACCATGAACGCGCAAACTCGCTACCGCACACACTGCTCGTAGCCCCATGCTGCACATTCTGGCTCCAGGTTTCATGAAAAACACACAAGAGACAGAGGGAGGAGCCAGACCCCAGGCAGGAGACAAAGGCAAACGCCTCCCAAAACAGCCCTATTTATCAGTTTTTAGGAGCTGCATGGAAAATCAACCAAATCCCAGCTCCAAAGCCATGCTGGTGTTTCAGAAAGTATTTCTCTTCATGGCAGTCTCACCAATCCTTTCTCCAAGAGGGGAGAAAATGGTGACAGGCAGCAGAGTTCTTAGGGGAGCCCCTGCCAGGCCGAGCTCACTCTCCTGCTCTGAGGAAGGAGGAGAAATTCACAGAAAAAAATTAATAAGCCGAGGGCATCTCTTTGCAACGCCTCAAAATGCAAATCCCTTTGGCCTCACATTAGTATCAGTGTCACCTGCTCTGCAAGAGCATGTTCAGGGCTAACGGGACACCCCTTAGGGCACCCAGGAGTCACACACGGGGGGACATGCGGGGCCTGGGGCAGGTTCTTACCTCGGGGCCGGGCAGGAGGGGACGGTGGTGCCTGACGTCCGTAGAGCCGCACACTGCCGGGGCTTGGCGAGGGAAGGGGAGTATGAAATCGCAGCCTGCCTGCAAGTGGCCAGTAAAAATAGCCCAAGCACATACCCCCTCCTCAGCGTGCGTGCCTGCCGCAAGCATGAGCACCCCCCAGCACTTTGCATACGCCTGGGCCGCTATCTCAAACACTGAGCGACAAGGGCACGTTGCGCCCGCGCGTTGTGCACCCGTGTGCGTGGTGGCTCCGGGACATCTACAGGAGCCTCACGTGTGTCCGTGGATCCTCGTCCCATGCTGTGTGCAAGTGAAGCAGTGTGTACGAGCGCTTGATGTGCTCATTGCTCACACGTAGGTTGCACATGTGAACACACCATAGCAGCACGGTGCCAGCCCCTCAGCAAGGCAGGGTCCGTGGATCTCAGTCTCTCTTTCAGTCCATCTGCTGTGCTGTTCTCCTACGCAGGCATGAGTGTGTTGATATCAAAAAGCCACCAAGCTTGCAAGGAAGCAGAAGTCATGAGCTAAAGCACTTTAATTATTTTTTTTCCCAGAAAATATCTCAAGGACAGTGAAAGGGGATATCCAAGGTTGCTCAACATCTGACACGGTGATGACACCCATGTACAGGGTGCATGTGTGCTGGGCAGTGCAGCATCAGAGATAATAAATGAACAGACTGATGTTCCCCACAGCCCCAGGGCAGCCCTCAGTGTGCACAGAGGAGCTCCAGCACCTGGGCATCCTCCAAACTGCATAGGGAGGGTCTGCAGAGCTGGGGCACCCCAGGGCTGGCAGGCCCTGCTGGCGCTGCAAGAGCAGGAGGGCAGAATCTGCCCAGAGACAGGACGGGGCACATCGACGAAAGTGAACTGTCTGGAAAAGCAGAGCAGGGAGAAGGAGATCCAGCCAAGATGCAGCTGGAGGTAACTTCTAGCTGGAGGGTTTGTGAGGGCTCAGAATGGCGCAGTCCCCTCTTTGGGGAGCAAGACTGGTAGGACCAGAACAACCCAGCAGCAATCCCTGAGACAAGGCACAGCTCAAGCAGTTCCCTGATGTCTTTCAGCAACTCAGGCCTTGATGTTTTCCAATGAAATCACTGAAAAGCAGAGAAAATGCTGCTATGTCACCACCTTGCCCCTGCAAAGCCCCTATGGAGGGAGACTTTGAGCAGGAGAGGACCACTGGGGCAGGGGGCAGGCAGCACCTGTTCCCTGGGATATTTTTAGGGGCAAGTTTAAGCACAAACAATTCCCAGCGTGCAGCCTTGCAGGAACAATGCCTGGCATTTTAATTCCTGAGACTATTATGGTCACGGAGGGACCCATAGTCCCAAGCCCCATTGTGGAGAGCAAGGACAACCCCCATGTCCGGCCGGGTGCACGGTTGGTCTCCGGCCAAGCACCCGCTTTCCCTGCCCTGAGCTCCTTCCCCCTGCTTCGATGTCAAGTGGGGCAACCGTGTCCTGGGGTTGACCACGCAACAGCCCCCGCGCTGATGTGATCTCAGCAGCCTGGGGCCACATTTCTCACCATCCTTTCTTGGAAGCCAGTGCAGTGCCGATGGCAATGGTAGTGACAGCCCCATCCTTGCTCGGCCTGCACTGAACAAGCTCCTGCAGGCCCAGGAGAAACCCCGTGGAGGCCTGCCCTCCTTGGGGACCCCTCCAAGGACATTTCTCCTCCCTCATCTGCACACACCGCTCACTCAAAGCCACCGTACGGGCCAGGGCAGCAAATCTCCCTCCCAGCTGGCGTGCACGGCTGACAAGGAGCAGGCTTTATACC